GCGAAGGTTCTGATGGTTCTGCCTGCACAGTTTAGGGTCTGGCTTCGGGGTCAAGGCCGGAAATGCACGAACGGCCAGCCAACTCGCACAAGGACAGGCCCGAACCCCCACCCCCCCCAAACCCGTCAGAACACCCTAACAAACAAAAAAGTGCACCTCGGGAGCAGGAAGCGGCAACGGATCATCAGCCTCGCGAGCAGGCTTGGGAGGGGTGTTGCGGGTTGCAGCCCAACCGTGCCAACCTTTGCAAAGCCGTAGTCGAAGGCACTCGCAGCTCGGTCTTTAAGGTCCTGCGGGACCTGAAGGCTCAACCGAAGTGCGTCACTAGTTTGGTGCCTTCACGGCTGAATCAAACAGCTGGCTGCGTTTGGCAGCGAAGTCGATGTACTGGTATTTGACTCAGTTGGAAGCACATGGAACGAAGCCGAAACGAAATACTGACACCCCGCTCCGAAAAGAATGAGTCGCGAACAGGTCCGACGAGTCCCGCCGTAGCTGCAATAAGTGCACTCCCACGCCATCTGCTACGATTCTACTTGTTGGCTCCTGCAAAAGATGCTCTCAAGGTTGCCGGATGTTCCAAGTAAAGTGTGATAAGTGTGTCAGTGCTCGTGCTGCTGCTGCTGATGATGATGATGCCAACCGCTTCCATGCATGCCACGGACTCCCCTGGGCCACTTGCCCCTTTTCGTGATAGGAAAAAGCCGACATCGAAGGATCAGCACGGCACAATGCTTGCACTCTCACCACACACACACACAAATGCAGCAAACTGAGAGAGAAGCACGCATTCTGCCCTCCGTTCTCTCTCTTCTTCATATACTATATCCTACTCATGAGACATGTGTTTTCCCCCATCCCGGAACGTTTCTAAAACCTCGATCTCAGCCCGATTTTTTCGATGTGGGGGACTCTACCAGAATAGGTGGGGCCACCTATTTTAAATCGGTGGGCCTGCATGTAACCCTATTCTTAAGGGGGGGGGGAATATTTTGACCCCTGTCTTAGCCTGCTAGCAGCGGCCTTTAGGCCGAAAACAAGCTGTTTCAGTCCGATACCAGTAACACGAAGGGACTCGGAAAACAAACTAGGCTCCTCCGTGATCTTTGTGTCTATGGAAAGGCTCAGCACACAGAAATGTTGAAAGCATCGCCGTCGCATTTCACTTGCAAAGCAGACTGTCGCGTTGAAGGGAAAAGCAAATCAACTGTTGCCATACCGGCAAACGTTCAGAGTTGTGGGGCCGCCGCGAGGCTCCCCAAGCATGATAAGCGCACCAGTAACGCCACACTCTTTCGTGATGCTGGTGATCATGTTCGGGCGCGGAGTTCTTTTCTGGCTCCAGGTGTCTGTCCCTTTCCTGTATGGCTGTAGCAGGGCGGAGCGCGTCTGGCACACAGCCGTTACTTCACTTTACAGGCTGCTTGGTCGTGCTGACAAGTGGCTGCCCGTCCCTCCCCAACGCGAGCGCAGTGTGCACTTCCTTGTGACGTCCTCTCCATTGAGCCGCGTTTTGGAAGGATTGTCCGGGACCATGAAGCGCTTTTCCGGATTCTCCAAGGAGTGCTGTCGGTTTGACAGGTATTGGGTAGCAGCTGTGCATGATGATGTTCGCGCGTGTGTCGCTAGAGATGTTTGGAGAAGCTGGCGGCCTTTTCACCCAACTGCGAAAAAACGGCAGCAAGACAGCTCAACTCCTGCATGCATCTTAGAAAGAGCAGAGGATGAGACTGAGGCGATGCTTGGGTGCTTTTGCGAAGATCCTAAACTAAACGCAAGATAGGCATTCCTAACAAAAGGTACTATACATCTAGTTTCTTGGTCTGGCTGAAGAGAACAAGCATATCCGGGGATAATTACTCCAGATACAGTCCGGATTCCGGATCAAAATTTCCATGTTGGACACGAAGCCCCTCCTGCGCATAGGGTCCTGGATGATGGCAAGCACAAGAACCAAACTCGGAAATCGAATCCGAAAAGTGTAGAGGGCTGTAGGACTACGGCTTGGGTTTCAGGATTCAGGGCCACAGGGTGTGCTCCTCGTAACCGATCTTTTCCGGCGTAAGCCAAGCATTGAATTCCAGCGGGCTCATAGGCACCGCTTTGAATCATTGAAGCGGGTACAGCGAGTGGCCCAGGCTGAAGCGTTTTTTGCTAAAAAACATATCAGCTTTGATGAGAAAGCTTCTCGTATAACGGGCTTTGCCGGAGGCGGGGGAGTGACGATGTTCAGGCTATCCATATTGGTCTGGAGGGACCCTGCCACTCACCATTTCTCAGCACGCTTCGTGCAGCATCCGCCACCTCCTTCTCACAGATGCCTCGGCCGCTGTGCACCCAAGCAAGCAGTGTCTCTAGCACATTCTATGGTTTGAGGCCCGGGAGCTGACAACTGCGCACACAGCTTCGAAATCAGCTTGCGATCGTCCCCGACCTGTGCTTCGGCTGCCTCCAGCTGCCTCTGGAGCTGATGGGACCTCAGGCCCAAAAAGGAAGTCTGGCGATGTTTCTGCCTGCAGGGGCCCTGAGGAACGACTATTCCTGCCACACGTAATGCAGCAGAGGTGCTTGTGCTGCAGCTCTGAGAACTGAGCTTCAAGCTCCTTCGGCATCTGGTTCAGCTTGCCATTTTCCTCCCGCATGCTTGTCCTGGGCAACATGCTCTGCCGATCGAACCCCGCAAAGTGTTCAGGCGGCTGCTCCTTTTGCAAGATCTCGATAGCGGACTGCAGGTCTTGCTCCTGATCCTGGAGAGACATGGCAAGCTGGCTGTCGTTCTGCTCCTTCTCCACATCTAAGCACCTCAGCTGGCCACGAAACAACCGCAGTCTATAACTCTTGAAGGCAGACCTGCGTGTCCTCCTGCAGTGACGGAATGCGTCTCAAAAAGCATGAGCATTTCAAGCAGCGGAGCTGTAGCTTCCTGCCTCCCAGCCACATCAACTCATGCTGACACGCCCAGCGCACTCCAGTCATCTCCGTTTTCCAGCCAGGACAAAACCTAAGTCTTCGTCTCAAGGCCAAACAACCGCAGCAGCAAGCGGGCAAGTGACAAAATGCGCGCTGCTTCTGGAGAGATGTGGCTCGTTTCGTTCTGTTTTCGGCGTAGGCAAGCGCTCTAAATCACCTTGGGCCTGCTGCCACGCAGGATCCACATCCGCAGCGAGCTTCGCCTGCTCTTCTGCGGCCTCGGAGGGTTTGTCATGTCGCGGCACGCTTCGGCTCGTAGGTCGTCTCGAGGCCCTCGCACCCGGGGAGCGCCAGCGTGGATGTGACGGAGTCGTTTTCGCTGTCGCAGCGGTCCTTCGGCTACATCCACTGCGGCGGCCGCTTGGCCCGTCTGACCGTGTCCTCCGTGGCAGCGTCGTCGCCAGCCTTGCGCTTTGCAAGCTTGCTCTTATGTGGCCGAGCTCTGCTTTTTCTTCCCCCCGGCCTCGGTGCTGTCGGTGCTTTCGTGGGAGTGTATCGAGCCGACTTCCTTGGGTCCGCGGAGTGTTATCGCGTGTCTGCGGGTGGCTATAGAGTTCTGTCCTCGAGGTGTGCCCGAAGCTCTTCTTCGTGTCGGCGTGCCTGGGAGGTTCGAGGTCTATACACCCGCTCCTCCCTTTATAAGGGAGCGAGTGCAGGAAGCAATGAATCAAATGCATACGCACAAGCAACTGCACAGCGAAACTCACAGGAACGGCTCGTTCTGCAGTCGGTCCGTCGGTCGCTACACGAGCACGCCGGTCTGTCACTCAGTCGGTCGGTCGGTTGATCCATGCACCGAGCGCCATGCAGACAGTCGATCGGGCAGTCGGTCAGTCGGTCTGCCACTTTTTGTGATATAGGAAGAGCCGGCATCGCGAAATGAGGGGTGCTGAAGATATATGGTAAACCGGAATCGCCACATGACGGGGCGTGTTTCAGGTATGTGGTGGACCGTTGTCGCCAAATGCGGGGGCATGTTTAAGAAAGATGATGAACCGGCATCCAGTGAGGGGGCGTGTTTAAAATATACGACGACCTGTTATCGCCAAACGAGGGGGCTTGTTTATGATATATGATGAGCCGATATCGCCAAATGAAGGGGCATGGTCAAGAGATATGATGAACCGGAATCACCAAGTAAGGAGGCGGCGTGTGTAAGATAAACGGCGAACCGGAATCGCCACATGAGGGGCCGCATTAAGGGGCCGTGTCTAATATAATATATGATGAACCGATATCATTAGCAAAACATGCGAATGTAGCGAGCGATAGTGTCCATGCGCACTCACAGACAGCGGCGCAACGAGGTCATATGTCAAATCATTCGAAGGTTTTGTTCCGCGCTTGGACAGGGCAAAGAAGTAGGGTTTGTGGAAGAACCGTTCAAGGGTTTGGGTATCAGGGTTCTGAACCCTGCTGCGGCAAACCCTACTTCCTTCACATTCCCGCATGCTCTGCTACTCCAGTGGCTGCATGAGATGGAGGCTCCAAGCTGCGAGAAAGCCGTGCACGAAAGCTAGTAGGTCGTGGCTATTGCACAAGTCGAACGTGCTTCAAAGAGGACAAGGGAAGGCATAGGGGCCTATTGCTTGAGAGATAGGCCCTATCGCGATCGGGATAGGGGGCTATGGAAAATCGATAGGGGCCTATGCTGCATAGGGGGCTAGCCTAAGTAGAGATAGGGCCTATCTATAGGGGTCTGTACGAATTCCCGTAGGGGTCTATCAGTGGGGGCCTATCGGAAAATGCATAGGGTCTATCTGTAGGGGTTTGTGGCCGCGGGAGAGGTCGGGCGCATAGGGGTCTATAGGAAAAGCATAGGGGTCTGTATAGGGGTCTATGGACGCCTATGGTAGGGGGCTACTTTCCACACTCATCTTCGGAGGTTCTGCTTGAGGATCGTCGTTCGTGACGGTCTTCCAGCCTCCGCTGCTGTTCTTGTCGGACCCACGAACCGAAAGGAGTGCGGGACGTCCGGCTCCTTGGCGTGTGGCGTTGCTTTCTTTCTTAGCTCACACCTCGAGCGCGACCGTGTAGTTGTACTCCTCCCGTCGGATGTGCTTTCTTCGAACTGTGCATGCATGCACGCCGGCCTCCGGGTCGAGCCAGTCGGCCGTTGCCCAGACGTACTCCTCCGCCAGCATGTATGATACCTGTGCGGGGTTGGGGGGCGATGGGTTGCTTTCCTTGCCCTTTTTTGTTGGGCGTGCCTCGTGAACATCCCACCAGATGATGTACGGCATCGCTTGGAGGACTTGGGTGTGTGCGTGTTGCTTTGCCGGCTCGGTCTTTCTGCGAACATGTCTGCTGATTGTTGCGTGGGTTCTGCAAGATCGGGTGGTGACGTGGCTGTGCGGGGCCGGGGACAGGGGTGCTTGGGACGCGAAGGCAGGAGCTCAGGAGCCGCGGCGAGCTGTCGGGTGTTTTGTTTTTCCTCTGGCGGTCCTTTTCTGCTGTCGATGACTACCGGTTTACGTCTTTGCTTTATTGTTGCTATGCGTGTTGTTGGCGTTGGACTTGCGGCTCTTTGACTGTTCTAGTGCTGCCGTTTCTGGTACTCTTTTTCTAGTGACTTCGTGCCACCGTCGCCGTCTGTCGCACTGGTGCTGTTGCTGCCGGCCCTTTTACCTCGCTTCTGATGCTACACTGCTGCCTCTGTTACTACTTGCACTGCTGCGTCTGCTGCTGTCGCGCTCCTGGTTCTATTGTCATTGCTATTGTTTTCGTCCTTGCTTTTCTGCCGTGATTTGCATGGCTACTGCTTCTACTGGCGATGTCGGGGCCGTTCTTGGTGCGAGAAAGCTTCATAGGGCCCACATACTCATGTCCCCAATCCCAGTCGCAGGCACACCAATAGTCAATGTGCACCATGGCAGAAAGTTGGCTTCTTATTTGTGCTTCTGCGTGGGCCTCGGGAAGGATTCCGTGACAGACGTGTTGAAAGAAAATACCACATTTTACATGCTGAAATCAGTCGGATTTAGTTATGAAGGATCAAATCCGGGGTGGCGCATGATGGCAACAATACGGCAAGGTTGCCACCTGATAGTCATGGAATGAGGCTCGTAAAAGATTGGCACCTGGATGGTGTCAGGAATAATGTAGCACTGTTTGGCATTGCTGACTGCAGCGCGGAAGCTGAAGAAAAAGCCGTGGTGCTGCTTGCACGGCAGCATGCCGATCGTCCCGTGCCTACCAATGGTTGACTAGGGCCTGCACATTGGGGTGGCCAGGAGTTTCCGGCTCGTGTATCCTACAGATGTGCTGCTTGACATGCCTGAAGGAAGCAATCCACATGTGGCACAGCGTGCAATGGCTTTGGAGATCTGACTGAAGCGTCGGGTCGCGCAAAAGAAACTCCCAATCATGCAAAGTCTGCACAAACCTAGCAGGCTCGATGATCGCTCGATGGAACGTTTTGTCGGATGCCAGTGGCAGCGTCCGGTGGATCCTCAATCCGAGCCTCGTGGCGCCTGAGCAGACAGGATGTTTGGACATTCTCTCTCCACCCAGTCGTTGGCAAGCTCCGCTCTCTATGTGATATCTCAAATTATGCCTACTGTAGAAGGATCTGAGGCATAATTAAGCGGCACTGCAGAAGGACGCCCCAGGCATGGAGCCGTGGTACGAATTTGGTGAGATTGCAAGCTGCTCGTGACGGCAGGTATTGGTGCGCTAGTTGGGAGCGTACGCGCATCGCATTCTCAGTGTTGATAACAGTATCGCAGTATGGACACGGTATCTCCGGACTGCTCACAGGTGGCTGGGCATCTTGCACCGCGCGCGGTGCAAGATGCGCTGAACGACGGAGTAGAACCATAACACGTGCACGAGTTGGCACTGTTGCTCAGCGGCGGTTTTGGTAAGTCGCCGCTAATGCTGACACCTCCTCATGCTACCGTCATGTCTCTGTTGTAACCAAATGGAGCCACTAATATTGCTGCTATCACAACGATTGCTAGTACTGCTACATCCAGCACGAAGCTTGCAACTGCGAGCAGCGTGGAAATGAAACCGATACGGCCTCAGCTTTGGCCACTGGACACGCTTTCCGTAGGCGAGCCTGGGCCGTTGCAAAGCAAGCACTCGGCAGGCATAGGCAGGCGTCGATTGTCTTTGATGTGTCCAGACCACGGCATAGAAGAAGCCGAAAAGAAACACCAGGGTCACAATTTGGGGGGGGGGGGGGGGGGGGGGGGGTGTGAATTCCGTGGGACATATGCCAACGCCTCACACCGCGGCGCCATTCCGCGAATTCGACTCACACACACTCGCTCCAGACGAGCCGAATAAAGACTGATCCAGCTTTCGGCCCAAAAAAACCTGGACAACATGAGGTTTGAGACCCATGAAACGAATGAAGTAGCCTTATAAGCATGTAAATTGAATAAAACCGTTCTCTCATGAAAACAATGCAGAAGATGAGAAATTTTCAAACAATACTTAGATCTGACAAGCACCGTCTACGGTAAATGAATGTAGAAAAAGGGCTGACGGGAATGAATTCATAGCCTCAATTAAGGTTGTGGTGTGGGATGGTGTGGTGTCCCCAGAACGAGCCTTTTCGTGAGTTTTTTCGGTAAACTCCGCCACAAATCAAGAGCAAGGATTGTCGGTTAAGTGGAGAAGAACATTCCCGTCTCCATCACGCCATCGTGTCAGTCTGCAAGTAGCAGGCTGCGCACTGTAGTCGCGTTCTCCTTCATGCTGTCGTCAAAGCCGAAAGCCCAACCGTAGAGTTTCAAACTTTCTTGGTTCGCTCTATAGCAAAACAGGAGTCCAAGTGTGTGCGAGCCATGGGTCCTTTCCCAGGACGCCGAATTTATAGTAGCGGCCCTGAAAATCCTAGAGATCTTCATGGTCAAACAGGTATTACAGATCATCTAGAGATGACTGCAGATGTAGTGGGGAATACCTCTCATTGCAAATGAGCGGCGCGTCCGAGAGCGGCTGCGGCTGCAGCTGTGGATGGAGGCTTTCCTGGCAGCACCACGGAATTGCTGGTAATGTTGTGTGATGGCTGTCGAGGACTACATTTACATCTCATGGATTTTCGTATCCAAGGCGCAAGAGCTTGTAATTGCTCTTGAATTCCTTCGCCGGCACCGGAAACACCTCCCCGCTGCAAACGAGGAAGTCGCCTGGCCTTCAGTTGGCGCTACTCAGCGTCGCTTATTATACACTGGGCGTCAAATGGCGGAAATAGCATGACTATGTGAACAGGGCCATCCCGTTTTTGCCACTCGTCCGAGAGCATTCGATAACTGCATCACCCATTCGTTAGTGCACTCGATTATCTAATAGATCAGCGCCTGCCACCATATTAAACCCCATTGGCTAGTGCATTGAAAACTTCCGTTGCATCTGTGCACCAGGGATTCCATGCCCGAACCATGGAAACGTGCATTCCCATTGCATCCGTGGGCCAAAGCATCCATGCCCACACCATGGTATCGTCTACTATGGTTTACTTTGGTAATTATACTCGGTACACTATCGTATGGTATAGCTTACTCTATTGACTCTACTGTTCCATATTGAACTTTTGCGTACTCTAATGTCCCACCTCTGTTTCTTGTGCTTTTTCTGGACTTTCTGCTTGCGAGCCTGGCAGCGTTCATGTAGAGAGTTCCAACATTCAAAAGTGTTTACACGAAAACACAAAAATCTCGAAATCCCGTCAGCAGAAATCACCTGCAAGATGCACACTTGTCTTTGTGGGTGCACGCCAAAATTCGCGATTGTCGTGCGTGCAATTCTCTGCTGCAAAGTTGCTGTGCAAGCAACGAAATACAACCCTGCCATGCTAAAATGCTGTCTCTGCGAAGCCACCCTGCTACGAGCGCGCGTTTGGAGCGAAGATGATTTTTAGAGTAATGCTATGATCATTTCTGCCGTTGTTTTGGGGGGTTAGTAAGCCAACAGTTGAGCTAAGATGCATTAGAGGCATGCGTCCAAACGTGGTCTGCGCCAGGGATCCCAGAGAGGCGACGAGCTCGTCAGTCATCCGAACCTGGTGCAGCCGGCAAGCTTGACTCATTGCTACTATCACAGTCGTTGTTTGTTAATTCTTATTAGTATTACAATAATTTTTATAGTAGTATCAAAATGTTATAACCGTAGGGGAAGGACTACAACAGCATTGTAATAGAACTACAAAGGTAAGAAGGTTGAAAGTTGAAACCACGAAAAGCTTGCCCAATCAATTTTGCCAGCAACCGCCCGTTTTGTGGTGTGCGTTTCGCGGAACTTTCTGAAACCCTGCCGCGTGAGCCTTGGCTGCGATGGTCCAGGACGCCAGAGCCGCATCCAGTAGCAGAATTCTGAAACGAGCTTTCACATGCTTCGTTGGGGATGAGGAAAGGATCTGGATAAAACGTATAGACCAAGTCTGTTTGTATTTACGAACAATGTCTTGCTAGCATCCATTCCGCTGTCCCTAGCTGAGAACAAAGTAGTTTCGGACAAGCATAACACACATTGAAGCGCCATCATCGCAAGCTTCAAGAGTGATCTCACAGTCCGACAACAGGTACGTCTACACTGCGCCTGCGCAAGAAAGTGTGACAGCTGATCAGATGCAGCGTGGAAAACTGCCGTCCAGGAGACTCAGGGTCGATGCGCCCCTGCCAAACTGTTGTTGCACATTGTTGCACATGCTCATGCATGGCAGCAGATGGCTTGGCAGCCCTTCAGGCCCCTTCGAAGCTACTGCTGCCTGACAGCAGCTCCTTGAATGCCTGCATTGGCCCACACTGAGAACTCCTAGTGACTTCGTGCACTGACACACCATGCGATGATGTTGCACTGCACCCTCCGTGTTGGAACGCTTCGCATAGACGACTGAATAACGGAACAAATGCTGAACATTAGAGTACCGTCTGTGGCCTTGCTCTCTGCGTAGTTGTTGGCAGTTTCCGCGGGGATGACATACGATGCATTCACGAACAGCTCGCCGTCCCTGGGCCACAGCTACACGACAACATCTCGCGAGGCAGGAGCCAAACCCCAGACGAGGCATGCACGGCATCTTTCGCGCCACGATGCGTTTTTTTTTGAGCCTTGGAGTTCATTGCCATGGGAATTGTGAAAGCTGGCCTGACTAAACTATGAGGGCAAGGGTGCAGACATGCCACAGTTCTTCCATGGTTTTTGAAAGCTACGCCACGAAGCTCTTGCTTGCACCAAAGACACGCATAAGGGTCGCCTGCGAGAGCATACGTGTGTGGCCTTGCCTTGCCTGCCTGTGCCAATGTGCTTCCAGTCTACGATTGCAAATCGAGGTTGACCATTGTTCTTGGACCCTTGGCAGACTTGCATGTTCTCCAGGGACCTCTTCACAGACTTCATGGCAAGATTGCTCTAAGGATGAGACTGGCAGCCAGCACAAAGCAGGTACGACAGCAGGCTCGCTTGCACAGCTAGTGCCCCGCAAAGCTTGGCAAGTCGCTGAATGGATGTGGACGAGCGCTTTCTAGATTGGTGTCCGTATGTGCCCTCGATCTAGCACACACATGTTAACATGTTGCAAGGGCAATTACGCGGACGTTTTCCGGCGCTGCAGCTAGTTTCACACACCGCCACTGCACAAGGAGGGCGCCTGCTCAACGAGGCCTTCGGGCATTTCGGCGCCTCGGCTGCTTTCAGTGGTCCACGAGCATGCATCTGCCAACAGCACGTTCACTTCGCAGCGACTAGACAGCATGCCAAGAAACTCCACGGGCACGGCGATGGCACTTGTTGCTTAAAGCTTGAGCCCAGCTCACTGATGCAGATTGGGTCTCGTGAATATGACTTGGCAGCGGGTTGCAGCGTCACGTGTGATGTGGTCTGTTCCCTGCCAAGAGGCAGTGCGATGCAGGGACGGATGCGTGCCCGAGCAGCTGCTACAGCACGGGAGGAGGCGGCAGTAACTCCTCGATTGTTCTTGTATTGCCAGGCTCGCCACGCTAGCTGAATGCTCGGAGAGCCGTTAGTGAACTGGCTTGCCTTGTTGCGCCTGCTTGCCTTGTGCGCCTGCGTCTCACTACAGCTTCTTCCGTAAGAGGATCGCATGAATGAGTTTGTTAAAGGCTTTGTTAGGGACTCTGCCAGCATTGATTGTCAAGAAACTCACAATGACTAGGCACGGCATTTCGGACATGGCAATACGTGGCGATGTGCTTGCATGGGTGATGGCACCAAAAGTAATAGTATGTGCTTCTCAGACCCATCAATAGGGGTCACGCCGGGGGACTAACCGCTCAAGCCCACAGCTCCCCAACTGAGCTTTAGCTCGTCAACTAGATAACATTCAAGCCTACACAAAGCTTGTGACCCTGAAGCTGCGACGCGTCGGCCTAAAGCTGCACAGTCAGAACCTGCTCAATACGACGCATAGAACCCAACCCTAAAATTTCACAATCTTCAGCTCTCGCACCGAGTAGGCCAGCCAGTTACAAGGCTCTTGTAGCCCGGCCCGAACTGCACATATTCGGACCACCTGCTTCACGCATGTCTTGGTACGTCTGCATCTTGACCAGCTCCAGGACTCCAGCGGGGTCTTTTAGAAGGGCTAACATCGCGGCAGTGATGCCGCTTGTTGCTTGAACTTTTGTCGGTGCCGGCATCCTGCAGCAGTTTGACAACTTCATCGTGGCTGCTTTCAGAAGCTGGTGTCAGGGCGTAGGTGCTGTCCACGGTGCCTGGATGTACGTCGGCACCGGCATGCAGGAGCAAGTTTACAGTTTCGGCGTGGCCGTGTCGAGAAGCTGCCATCAGGGGAGTGAAACCGTCACCGCTAGATACATGTTCCTGTGAATGGTTTACAACAGGATGCTTAGGTCTCAGGGGCTAGGAGGAAGAGCAGGGCCATGCCTTCTGCCTCCGAGCTTGTCAGGACTGCTTGATTGGTCGTTACAAAAGCTACAATGCAGCTACAACTTGTTATCATTATCAGGACTCTTAGCTCAAAAGGCTTACGTGGTGGTTGTGACACTACACCAGAAGCTGAAAAAGAAGAACCGCAAACTGCGTCGAAGTTCTTGCGAGATTCAGCCAATCAGTGTATCAATGAAGCGCTGACAGGATTTCTGATGTCTGCTTCAACGTGATATCTACTTTCATTAAACAGCTACCAAACTGCACATCCTGTTTCCAAAATCATTGGCCTCAGAAGGACTTTTCAGGTTTCCGGAATGACCCTCATGATCGAGTCACTGTGTAATTTCGGAAAGTGCCTTGCCGTTGCGGGACAATTTGCTGCGTGGCGTGCGACATTAGTGTTCAGGATGCTATGGCATGGCCTAGCTTCTCCGCCCCGTGTCGAACTTTGCTCACAAGCTTCCCACAAACGCATAATGCAAAGCCACGTTCGGTCGAGGTGGCCCTGGCTCTACCACGTAGCGGCGGGCAGCTTCTTCATGGGGAATGATGTAGTGGGTATCCTCACCTGACAGTTATTTCGCGACCAGCGTGGCATTCACAAAGCTGCGGACAACAGGCAGACAAGCAATGTCCGATGATACAGAGAACAGTGCCAGCACATGAGCATAAGATGAGGCGACGGTGACGAGGACGACAATATCCGCATCGACAACGAGGACGACAACGGCCACGCGTTCGTCGAAGCGAACTCTCCTTGGGACGACACTGGGGTATTCAAGCACGCATCTCGCGCAGCACATGCTGGACAGATCGGCAGCAACGCACCAGCCAATATGTTGTAGCCCGGTGTGCATGCAGGGCTTGTTGTTGAGAGAGGCTAGTTTGACTTAGAACCTGGAAAGATCATCACTAAAGATGGATGTCATAAGCGATTTCCGTTAAAAGAACAAAAAACAAACCTGTGTCAAATGTTTTCGCACCAGTCCTATCCGGCGCCCGAACTTCAGAATTTCCAGCGCCAGATCTCAGGTTGTCGAAGTCCAAAATGCGAGCAAACGCAGTACATTTGAGCTTTCGGCAGGAATCAGAGGGGCTTGGTTGGTTCCGTGATGCAGTTTCGATGGTTCTTTCCAATGATTTTTCTCGGGCTGGGGCAGCCTGATGTGTAAACTAGAAGAAATGTACTGCTGAAAGTACTACAGTTTACAGTATTTCAAGCCTGCGGTTGGGCGCGTGTGCACCGACTACCCTGTCCCAAGCAAATGAGCCGACCCTTCGGTTGCGTGCGTGTGGTGTCAGAAGGAGCCAAAACCACTGCGCCTGTGCACGAAAACCCGTTCTTGCGGGGATCGCAGCAAATCAAATATTCCCAGGTAGCAGCTTCCGGATCCTTGTCCTGAGCGGACGAATCAACTGATGCGCAAAGGAGTGAACGTGGGAAGTTGGTTACCCTGTCCCCGAGCGGATCCACATCGCGGGCGGATGGGCTGCCCTGTTTCGAGCGAGTGAGCCGACGGATCCACAATACTAACGGGTGGCATGAAGATCATGCAGCTGCCCCCTTCTTGCGAATCATTGATCCGCTGGCGCCAGGCTGCTGCGGCTGAGCCGTGATACCTGTGCCACATTTCATCTGCCTGAGGGGTGCAAGAGCAACGACCACAAAGCAAGTATAAGCAAGTATTGACCATGGTAGTTGAACGCGCAAACAATCAAGGCGCACGAAGAATCATTCCCCGGATCCAATCCGTTGAAGAATTTGCTGCCACGTGAGACCTGGGTTGACTGACATGCCTGTTGCATCTGCGAGTAGCTCCACTGGCAATTGAACACAACTGAACCATCCCCTGCAACCCACATGAGCTGCTGACTGTTCGTGGACATGTGACTCAGCATGGCTTATGCAGTGTCTGAGCCTGAAGTGGGCACAGGGCCATGGCACTAGTGCTTGGCACGAGCGCATGCAGGAAAAAGAGTGGCAAACGGACGCATGACATGTGGCTTGTTTGTGCTCCACTGAATTTGCAGTGAGAGCAGAGCGCACCCATACGGCGCTCCCAAGCGCTGCGACATTAGCGGGGTATGACTGTCCTCCAAGGATAGTCATACAATCGTGGTGTAGAGGAAAACAATCAAGGGACCGTAGAAGCCCGCCTGCAGAAGAGCAGGTAGACCTCGCTGGAACCAAGAAGTGCGTCATCCGATGCCTGAGTGTACCTAGGGGTCCGGCCATCGTCACAGTGAAAGGACCCTCCTGGATCCAGGAGCTGCGTGGTGTAGTGTCCCGAGCGGATCGTCAGTCCGAGATGCATAACTGCCGCCTCCACTGCATAGGTGATGTTGCGCGAGGCGCGAGTGTGCTCACCTGAGAAGCAAGGCAGGTTGAGGTTGGGACCCCACTCCACTCGAGACGAGTTCTTATGTGCACCATCTGCAAGGAGCCAGTATCGGACGAATCGAAGCATCAAAATCTCTGGCGGGAACCTGAGGGCATGCACAGCCGCCTGCGTGTGCCACTGGTGGATGAGTGCTTGGGGGCGGTGCACCGCTCCCACCGGAATCTCGAGTGAGATGACCTTTGAGGTCGGCGCATGTTCCGTTTCAGTCACAAAGCCATCCTCTTCTATGCGAGCCGACCATCCACCCTGAACAAAGGCTGGGCAAATCTTGGGGATTATGTGCTCAAGGTATTGCGCACAATCATGCTGAGACTGGGGGGGCTGCCAGCCCGAGGCAAGCAGCCTCCAGAGCAACACTGCATGTATCAGAAGTGGCGTAGCCTGACGCTGGTTAACATGTGAAAACAGCGCCTCCACCGCCTGCGATCCTGGCGCAGTGATGTGAGATGCGTAATGGCGGGAGCCTGCACATTTGGCATTCATATAACAGTGGTTATTTCGGTTAGCCACTACAAGCTCCGTGAGCAGTCGCCTCAGCCGAAGGCCCGTTCTAGGATCTTCACCAGTGTTGGCGGCTTGCGGAAGCTCTCGCGGCGAAACGAGATACCCGACATCTGGAGTGCAGAGTTGCCTTGAAGCCTCGCCAGATGCTCGAACAGGGTAGTGGCTTCCGGGCACCTGAAGCCTATGTCCATCAAGACCGGAACCGTCTGACCTTGCAGGTTTTCGTCCAGTGTACATAGGGCCCCAAAGCGAGAGAGTGTCT